GGGAAGTCAATCCCTGCTCACCTGCAGACCCCTGAAGGCTCTGACCTCGACTCTCTCTCCCGTCTGCATGCCTCACCCTCACCCTCAGCTGCAGCCACCCTGGCCTCCTGGACCTCCCCCTGGGGTCATATCTGCTCCACCCCAGGGGCTTTGCATGTGCTGCTCCAGCCCTTTGGAACATCCTTTTGCCCAGATATCTACATGGCTAAGCGCTCACTCCTTCAGCTCTCTGCTCCAATGCACACATTAGAGCCCTTCCCTGCCCAGCTGGTGTGGCTCAGTGGTTGAGTGTCGACCCATGAACCAGAAGGTCACAGTCAGAGCACATGCTGGGGTTTCGGGCTCAATCACAATGTGGGGCGTGCAGGAGGCAGCCAGTCAATGATTCTCTCTCATCACTGATGTTTCTATCTCTCCCTTCCTCTCTGAAATCAATAAAAACATTAAAATACATTTTTTTAAAGAACCCCTCCCTGGTTCCTGATCCCCACCTGAGGACTCCTTTATCCCCTTCCCTGTGTTTGCTGCTGTTATTGTCGTTACCTGTTGGTAGGTTTTTCAGTGGCAGCACACACACCCACAACATAAAATGCACCCTCGTCACCATTGCCAAGCATGCAGTTCAGTAGCATTGAGTCCATGTGTGTTGTCCAACCATCCCTCACACCACCCATCTCCGGAATGTCTCCCTCTCCCCAAAGTGAAACTCTACCCACTGAGCACCCCCACCACCACCCACTACTTTACTTTGTCTCTATGGATTCCACTGCTCTAGGGACCCCACTGAAATTAGACAATACTTGTCCTTTTGGGCCTGGCTGATTTCACTCAGCACAATGGCCTCACGATTCACCCGCACGGCAGCATGTGTGGGAATGTCCTTCCTCATTAAGGCTGAATAGTATTCCATGGTACCTACAAGCCGACAGTCCACAGTATCTACAGGCCGACAGTCCACAGTATCTACAGGCCGACAGTCCACAGTATCTACAGGCCAATAGTCCACAGTATCTACAGGCCAATAGTCCACAGTATCTACAGGCCAATAGTCCACGGTACCTACAGGCCCATAGTCCACGGTACCTACAGGCCACATTTTGCTTATCCCTTCACCTGCCAGTGGGCACTTGGGCTGCTTCCGCGTCTTGGCTATTGTGAATCATGACCGCTGCTCTGACAATGAGTGCATAAGTATCCGCTCAAGTCGCCACGAGTGGAATTGCTGGACCCCTTGGTCTCTGTTTAATGTTTTTTGTTTGTTTTTTTAAACATATTTTATTGATTTTTTACAGAGAGGAAGGGAGAGAGATAGAGAGCTAGAAACATCGATGAGAGAGAAACATCGATCAGCTGCCTCCTGCACACTCCCCACTGGGGATGCGCCTGCAACCAAGGTACATGCCCTTGACCAGAATCGAACCTGGGACCCTTCCGTCCGCAGGCCGACACTCTATCCACTGAGCCAAACCCATTACAGCTGTTTAATGTTCTGAGGGGCCCCCACCTTGTTTCCCACAGCGGCCGCATCGCTCTCCGTGCCACCAACAGTGCACGGGGTTCCGACTGCTCCACGTCCTCGCCTGCACGTGCCTTCCCTTCCCCCTTGCTCTGCCTCGTCTCCACAGCACTTACACCTGTTACACCATAGCACTTGCTCATCTGTGCTGGATGCCTCCCCCCACCCAGGTATTCTGGGAGCGGGCCTCGCATGGCTGGGTCCCCAGCACTTAGGACACACCCTGGCGCAGAGAAAACGCTCAATGGAGTAAACACCTGGACTGTACCCCTTTAACAGGTAGTGGACTTTCTTGAATAGATTTGTCACACCAAGTGCCTCAACTCTGTCCAGCTCAGGCAAGAACCCGGACACCCTGGCTGCCTCTGCGATGCAGCTCAGTAGGTCAGGCGCTCCGTGTTTTTTCCCAGCTCATCCGCGTTAACCTCGGAACCACAGACGCTCTGACAATTGGCAGGAAGAAGCGAAACCGCCTCTGTCCCGTCTCTGACTTCAAGCCTTCCTTGACTTCGCCCAAAGAGCCAACTGAACACAGCAGAAGTGAACGAAAGCGTCGCAGGCACTTCCAGGGACCGAAGAGCCTGCGTTGCATGTGTTTTATGTTAAAAGATCAAACCAACAGCAAACAAGATGGGACACTGGCTTTGTGCAGACTCCTTAATGAGAGGGGCCCGGGGCAGCCTGACCTAGAAACCAACTCCAGGCCGACTTTTATTCTCTGTGTGTGGTTTGCTTTCCTGTTGTTCCTATTAGGTGTTTGTTGTTTCACATTGGTTTGCTTTTTTGTTGTTGTTAATCCTCACCCGAGGATGTTTTTCAAATGGATTTTTTTTTTTTTTTTAGAGAGAGTGGAAGGGAGGGAGGGGGAGAGACAGAGAGAGAAACATTGATGTGAGAGAGACACATTGATTGGTTGCCTCCTGCATGCACCCTCGGCCGACTGGGGCTGGGGGTCGAGCCTGCAACTGAGGCACGTGCCCTAGACTGGTATCGAACCTAAGACCCTTCGGTCGGAGGGCTGACACTCTACCTACTGAGCCAAACCGGCCAGGGCCACATTGGTTTGCTTTTGAAGAGCTGCTCGTAAGGAAACCAGACCGCTTCTATGAGATCATTATAAATGATCAAAAAAGCCATTACACTTTTTTCTCTGGAAGTCGGCTGGTTATGTACTGGGTTAAGTCACTGGATTAGAAGTTTCTTTCCTCTCTGTCTCGCTTTCATTCCCTGGTCTCCCTCCATTGACAATATTTTGAGGAAAAGGCAACAGATGTGCCTCGAGTTCACCTACTTCTCTCAGCAGCCAAACCCAGCCCCAGTCCCGACAGAGGCGACGCCAGGTCCCTGCAGAGGGACCACTCTGCTGAACCGGGGAGCACCCTGTCGGCTCCAGCAACGTCCCCGGGGCTCCGAGCGAGGCCAGGAGCAGTTCATTCAGGGCGTGACGCACTCTCCCAGCCCGCCAGCCAGTCCTGATCGGGGATTCTGTTCTGATGTGAATTATTCACGGAGCAGGCGGTGCTTTCCACACACGCACAGAAGGAAGGAAGAAAAAAGGGTTCTGCCCAACCGGCCACCAAGCAGACTGCAAGGAATATGAAAAGGTTTTGTCCCGGCTGGCGTGGCTCCGTGGCTGAGTGTCAACCTATGAACCAGGAGGTCACGGTTCGATTCCCGGTCAGGGCACATGCCCAGGTTGCGGGCTCGATCCCCAGCGTGGGGTGCGCACATCTCTCTCATCATTGATGTTTCTATCTGTCTCTCTACCTCCCGTCTGAAATCAATAAAAAAATATATATTTAAACAAAAAAAGGTTTCCTATTCAGATGGGGACATGCCCGACTCCTTTCACCAGCTCAGAGGCCTGGATGGAGACGATCAAGGTGGAGCTCAGGCAGGAGATGACCCTGAGGCTGGACTCAGACAACGTTCCCCATGGTCTGGTTTTTTTCCTCTCATTCAGGCTTTCAGCACTCAGCTTTCCAAACACACCCTCCTCCAAAACCCACCCTCTGCCCTCCCCACACCTGGGGCCACGCCATCTCCTTCCTACATCAGGGGACACAGTGCTCACTCCCCCTGGGTGGGACATAAGCAAGACTTATTTCAGCCACAGCAATACGTTTATCAAGTTTCCGAGCTTCTCCCTCCCCGCCCCCGACTGAGGTGCACGTGTGGGCACAGGACAGCCCCAGCCTGGTTATGGTTATACCTGGCTCCCACCTGTGTGAGCACGTGAGTCCACTCTCTGCACCTCAGTTTCTTCACCTGTACCTGACCGCCCGGGTTTCTGGGCCAGCCGGTCCTGGACCAGGCTTACATGTACTTCATGTGTCGGCATTAAGGTAGCAGCCAGCTGGAGAAGACCTGGGCCGGTTTCGCAGGTCTGCAGCGCACTCGGCGGAGGCGCGCTGAACCAGGCCGGGCCGCTGGCGTGCCCACACAGCGGCCAGTCCCTGGAGCTCCCCGAGGGAACTGGCCCTCACACATCCGAATGCTCCAAGCCACCCGCGCCCCGAGGATCTTATCAGCAGGAAACAAGAGCCCTGGACGACCATAATGAAGTGTCTGGCTTTTCTTTTCTAATTAGAAAAGCCCCAAGATTGTAGCCCAGGGAACAGCTAAATATTTAGAATGTTCAAGAAGTTACGAAGTCCCAGCACCCGCCCCTTACCCTGTTGTTCACCCCGCTCCTGACCATTTCAGAAGGAAAACTTGTGATGGCTGGATCTGCAGCAATGGGACCCGTAAAAACCTCTTTCTTAAAGTGCAGTCTGGCCATTTTGGGGGGGAGGGGGATATACGAGCTGCTCGTTTACAGATAAATGCGGCCCTCAGCTCCTATCCCACAAGGCACCTCACAGCGGGGACCCCCAGATCCTTGACCTGCAGAGAGGGGGTTCGCGTCCAGGGCTGGATGCCCCCACCTTCTGCTTCAAGAACTAACTTCCCTTTTTAAAGTTCTACCTCTTTCCATTTGGCGGCCGCCACTTTCATTTCTTGCAGTCCAACCTACCCTGAGGAAACACACGTTCACGGTAAGAAAAAAAGAAAGTGACTATTTTTGAACGAGAGAAGCCGTTCATTTTTGCTTCCACGTCTTGGCAGCCGAAGGGCACTGCATCCCTCACGATTTAAGTCATCATCACGCTGCCTGGCGAGTTCCATTCCCAGTCCCCCAACGGACGGACGGACGCCCCTTCTATGGCCCTCCGGGGATGGCCTTTGCCCTCCTCTCCTGAGCCTGCAGGCTGCTTCCATTCTGAGCCACCGCCAACAGCTGGGGCAGACTGGCCCCTGCGTCTCACCTGCTCCCCGGAGCCCTCCCCAGTGGCCAGGTCACGTTTCGGAGACTGAGCCCCCATGGAGTTGGCTTTTCCTTCCCCTCCCCATCTCCATGGCCCCTTAGAGAGGAGTAAAACAGGCTGCAGCTGCGGCTGAGAACTCATTATTGCCCGCAGCTTTCGCCGGCTTCCACACTCACCTGGCCCCGGCCAGGCACTCCGCTGCCAGAACGTGTCCCGCCAGGGGTGCGAGTCCTGCGCGCAGCAGTCAGCTCCTGGAGATTGAGAAGGAAGACGGTGTGTGAGACCACAACGCTGGGTCCCTAAGGGAAACGCTCCAAATCCCCACCTTCCACCTTCTTTAACCTCCTTCCTGGAGAGACACCCCCTGCCCCCCAGTTGACAGGCAGGTGTGTGGGATCACGTGGGCGAAGAGTCCGGGGAACCTGGGTACTCACTTCCAGTGTGCGACCCACAAGCCAGGCTGGGCACCACCAAGTTGGCCCTCGCGGGGCTGGGACTAAGGGAAGTGTTTGGCGGCTCTCGTTTCCCGTGGGGAGGCCGAGGGTCAGAAACCCGCATCCCCACCGGCTCCGTCCACACTTCATCCCTCCTGGCTCCCCGTTTTATAACCCCCCCCACACACACACACACACACAAGCACGACTCTCCCAACTGTGCGGCTCGAGCGAGGGTTACGTTTTGAGAAAGATGGTTTCCTTGAGCGGACTCACATATGACACCCCCACAACCACCACCCGCCCCCCCAAAAAAACAACCTATTTCCTGCAGCTGCTGCAACAGTTTCCAACTCAGGGGAATGCCATTCCAGCCCAGACCGGGTCGCCCTCAAAGCGAGTCACTGGCGTCAAAATGTTTTTAACCGCAAATGAACCCACTCCCCACCCCCCAGAAAAAAAGGCCCGCAGTAAAAGAACCCACAAATGCCTGCAAGTGCTTGCAAATCCACCAAGAACTCCCAGAGAGCGGCGCAAAAACTTGTGCCGTCCTGGGGACAGTCCAACTCCCCGCGCCCCGGGCCCGGCCCCAGCCGCTACCTTGCTGCCCGGGGAGCCACGGCGGTTTCGGGGCGCAGGGTGAGGAGCGGGGTCAGAAGCCGCCGGGTAATCCCATGCTGCGAAGCGGGAGCTCGTTCCGTTAGGATGGAAGCGGAACACCCACACCTCCTCTCGGCGTGGCTTTCTCTCTCCACCCTCTCTGCCTCCTCCTCCTCCACCTCCTCCTCCTCCTCTCCTCCCACCCGGCGAGCCCGAGGAAGCGCCTCAGCAGCACAGCCACATGGTTACTGCACTTTGAAGTGGCTCCCCAGAGCCTTATATAGACCCGGAGGCTCCCTGGGCAATGTAGTCCGAGGCCGGGGTCGCGGAGGCCCTGGGGCGACGGGACGGACTACAAGTCCCAGAATCCCCGGCGCCGCGGGAGGAGCTCTAAATAGATGCGCGGGCGGGGCGGGGCGTCCTGTGGGGTGTCCAGGGTCCGCACTTGGGTCCTCGCCCGGAGCTGGCCGGGTTGGGAGCCCGCCACCCAAAGCCGCCCCTGGAGGGCGCCCCCACCCTTTGGGGACCCTCCTCCGGCTGGCCTCCGACCCGGGCTTCCAGGTACCGCTGGGAGCGGGGGACGGGAGCAGCTCGGGTTTCTGCTTTGGGAAGTTTTTGCCGCCTCGAACCCTCCCTCCCCCGCGCCGGGCGTGCGAGCCAAGAATGTCAGAAATCCAGGGCATAGAAACGCCAGTGTTTGCGGTCAGGGATTAACGGCGCGAGGTTGTCTTTATTTAATCAGCTCGGATTTGCACAGAAAACGAAGTCTGAGAGCGACGGTACCCGCAAAAGGGGGTGGGGGGGGGAGGGCACGGGCTAGCGACTCGAGGGCACTTTCGTGAACCGAACTGCGGGCGCCTTCTCGCCCCGCGGAGGTGGGACTCTCCCTCCCGGGCACACATCGGGGAGCTGTGTTGTCACTTCCCAGCGCTGAGGTCGGTGGGGGTGGGGGGGAGATTGGGGTGCACAAAACAAATGCAGACCGCGACCTCGGCCTGACCCTGCTTCCAGCAGCCCCTGTGCCCCCGGGAGCTGTAAATGCTTAAATAAGTAAACCGCAAACCATAAAAAAAAAAAAAAAAAAACACAAAAAAACAGGGCTTCGGAGGGAGCGCGGCCACAGCGGTGCGCGGCCAGGCGGGGCGCCCTCGCGCGGTTCCGCAGGGCGCCCGGGACCAGTGGGTTTCAGCCCTTTGCCAAGAAGGGCCTGGGCTCGGGCTTCGGGAAGGAGGGCAAGGGCTACGCTCCGAGGAATCAGCCGGCTGCCCCCCCCCCTTCCTCAGACGGCGTGCATTCATTCCACAAACGTTTCCTGACTGTCTGCTGGGTGCCAGGCGCTGTGCCAGGCGCTGGGGCGTGATGGTGAGCCCAGACCCATCCCAGCGTCGCCGGCCGGCCCTGCCTGCGCCACGTGGATCTGCCCTGACAACCACAGTCGTCACCATAGTCGGGGAGACCGATGTTCCTGAGCCCGGACCTTATGCACGTTCGTGCGTCAGAGTCACTGAGTTTTTGCAACCTTTAGGCACAGTCTTCATCCCTGTTGGATGCCGCACAGCCGCGGGCTCAGGGAAACCAGGTGACTTCCCAGGGTGACGCGCTAAGTAGCGCAGCCTGGATTCCGCTCCCGCCTCTGATACACGAGGTCCTGGTCTTCGGGGAAATCCCGGCGCTTTTAGGAGCCGCCTCGGAGCCCTTGGGCGACTCATTCTCATCTCCTTGCCCCAGTTTTGCCATCGGAGGAGAAAACCGTGTGAATGGCCTGCTTCCCACCAGCAGTGCTGGGTGGACAGTCCACAGTCTTGTAAACTTCAGGAATAAATTAGGGAGCACACTATTCCCGACAGAATGCCAAGGTTAATCCTAACAGCTGCCTGTACTGGGAGGAGCTCTAAATAGATGCGCCAGAACGTGTCCCGCCAGGGGTGCGAGTCCTGTGCGCAGCAGTCAGCTCCTGGGGATTGAGAAGGAAGACGGCCTGTGAGACCACAACGCTGGGTCCCTAAGGGAAACGCTCCAAATCCCCACCTTCCACCTTCTTTAACCTCCTTCGTCTCACCTGCTCCCGGGAGGAATCAGTTTTTGCTTATGGGAAACTACAGAGAGATTAAGCAACTTCCCCCCAAGTCATACAGGGGCTGGGCTCTCAGAGTCCCGAACCCGGGTAACGAAGCTGGAAGGTGAAGATCTGGA